CACGGAGTTGTAAGACGGAAACGTACTTGTTGTTGTAGCAGGACGAGGAGTGCGCCGCCGTCGAAGGACGGACGGACGTTACGGGTTGGTTCGGTGGTTCGTTCTAGACAGGTACGGTGAGGTCGTAGGGGGGGAGGGGAGTCCTCCTCTCTCTCTCTCTCTCTCTCTCTCTCTCGCTCTCCATCCAAAAAAACAGGAGGAATTGGCCGCTGTCACACACGCAGGAACACACACGCATATACTGACCCGACCCGACCCGGGAACATGCACCCTTATACGGCCAACCCAACCCGGGAACATGCACACATGTACGGCCGGCCCGATCCAGCACTGCAATCATTTTTATACTTAATTTTTTTGTCTTTGCTTTCTAGTAGGTTCGGCCTGTCCCAGAGCGGGCTAGGGCCCCTTCGGCCCACTTCGGGCCAGGTGCTTCCGGGTCGGCGTAGCGTTTTGCTTTTCAAGAAAATATTAAAGAAGGACCCAAAAGATCTCGTTCATTTCATGAGAGTTACTCTTCAAAAAGCTTGTCAAAAACTTTTCAAATTACCCATTTTCGAAAGGTTGATAATCCTAAACGATCAGGGGCATTTTAGTAAATTCGCTCTACTTAGGTAAATGGAACTAAATTATGATAATACCTCGGGTTGTTAACGTGGAAAAGTTTATATTGTAGAAGTAAAGGTGCACTTCAGAAATCCATCAAAAAACCCTTTAACCGATCATCTCGATATTAAGATATGGATATAAAAATAAAAAAGGATTTTTGGCATCTTGCATAAAGATTTTTATGTATTTACAGATCTACTTTGAACCATTTTTTTTGTTTAAAATTTTATAATTGAAAATAAAAATAGATTCTAAGACCATCCTACAAAATTTTGACACAAAAATTACATGTTATGATAAAATTTGGAGAGGCACGTCTTATTTTGCTTGTTTAATATTGCAATCTTATTTGATTGTTTAATATTGCAATCTTATGCAAACCGCACCCATAACAAAAATACCTCTTATTGTACAGCAATACAAAACGTTCTTCTTCTTTTTTTGGGCAAGCTTTTTATGCCTTCTCTACAGCATAAAAGTTCTATCCTCTCCCTTATCCAACCGTCTATTCTGAATGGAGGGTTAAGATTGCCCCAATCACAATGTCATGTCTCTACACTATTTTATTTTTATTTTTTTTTCTATAAACTATTTTGATGCCGAATTTTGGACATCTATTCCCTATTAAACTCCACTAGCAAAAAATATAACTAAAAAAAATATTTTCAAAAAAATAAAAAGACTAAAATACCCTTAAAAGTTTCAATGCGTATTTTGATCATTATATTTTATTGAAATTTTATTTTTAATATTTTTTATAGGTGCGCCCCAATGAGAAGATGGTACGTACCAATTTCATATTCATACAATTTGTATAAAAAAAACTAAAAATAAAATACTTTGAGACGTTGGATCTGAGATCAAACGGTGCGTGGCTCTCTTGATCAAAATTGAATGGCTGGATGGTAAGGGGAGGATAGAACTTCTGTGTTATAGGGAGAAGCATAGAAACTTTTTCCTTTTCTTTTTTTTTGTGAGACAACCTTGTTTCGTTTTTCCAAACAATTAAGGGTATTAAAGTAATTTGGCCCGAGTAATAACAAATGGGAAAGGTTTCAATACTTCCCCTGCAACATAGAAGATCTATGCTTCTCCTACCATCCAGCCATCCAATTTTGCTCAAGCGAGCCACTCACCGTTTGATCTTAGATCTGACATTTCAAAGTATTTTATTTTTAGTTTTTTGTTATACAAATTGTAGGAATATGAAATTTGGTACATGCCATCTTGAGCGCACCTATACAAAAAATTTAAAATAATTTTTTGATAAAATATAATGACCAAAATACCCCTTGAAACTTTTAGGGGTATTTCGGTTATTTTATTTTATTGAAAATATTGTTTTCATATTTTTGCAAGTGCAAGTTTAATAGAGGATTAGACGTACAAATTTTGGTGTCAAAATAGTTTATAGAAAAAAATAAAAAATAAAATAGTATAGAGACTGACATTATGATTGGAACAATCTTAACCATCCATTCAGAATGGACGGTTGGATAAGGGAAAATATATAAATTTTATGTCGTAGAAGAAGCATAGAAAGTTTGCCCATAACAAATTACCAAAATGGTTCCCAAACCTAAATTTGGGAATTTCAACAAATTTTTTTCTCTGGCTCGAGTGCCAACAAATTACCAAAATGCCCTTCTTGTGTAGAGTTCCATACCCTAACTCTAGAAATCTCTAACAATTTTTTTACGAGATACCTTAATGAAACTAAACATTCACAGTGAACCTACACTGCTAAGTGATGAGAGAGAGAGAGAGAGTTGCCTTTCAAAGTGAACCTATACTGCTAAGTGATGAGAGAGAGAGAGAGAGCATTTGTTATCTTTATATTTCTATGAGAGAGAGAGAGAGAGCTATTTGTTATCTTTATATTTCTATGAGAGAGAGAGAGAGAGCTATTTGTTATTCTTTATTATTTCTATGAGAGAGAGAGAGCTATTGTTATTCTTTATTATTCTATGAGTAGAGAGAGAAGTGAGAGACTATACTAATTACCTTAAAGTGTTT